ACTCCAGTGGAGAATCCTCTGCCTTTAGAAACAAACATGTATCTAAACAGGTAAATGTGAGCATCCAGAGAAATACTTCAGGCTAAATGCTCCTGTGCCCACTCGTGAAAGCCACTGTATGGAATGGGGTAGGGATACAAAACATGTATTTCCAGAAGTCAGGTAATGCTGAGCTACTTTCTGCACTGGTAGTAACTCAGATATATACTTACAAATAGCATCTGAAGATGCACTTAAAATATAATAATGTCACCTCCAGAGGCAGATACTCCTAGGAGAGCACTTGGGTGCCTAACACCCATTTAAACTTTGCTTTGGTTGTCTCCACATCCTGCTGTCTCAGGGTGCAGCAGAACTGGTTCCCAGCTTTGACATCCAGGCCACCCTTTCTGCCTAGTTTTTACTATCAGACTTTTGTGTTTTGTGGACTTTTTTGCAGCTGAAGAGAGAAAACTCGTGGCTGATGATTACAAAGTTCAGAACAAGTAGCAGCAGTGGTCTGTGTCGGATGAGTGCATTTTTCAGCTTGTGCTGAATAAATAATTACAAGCATCACCTAGTTGCATCTGAGAATTAATGAGATTTTCCTGACCACAGAAGCAGAGTAGCTCAGGAGTCCTGCCATGCAGGAAAGTCTTCCTGAGGGGATGGACCAGCAAAGCTGCTCCTCTGCTGTCCCCACCACTCTGGCATGGCTCACACAAGCTGCTGTGCTGACAGAGCAGCCCACAGGAGCAGGGCAGAGCAAACCTCACAGCTAATGGACTTGTCCTCTTTCATTTCTTGTTTGGCTCTCCAGCACGATGCACCTTGGCCCCAGAGGTAAGCCTTATATTTGGATGGGAGCCTGAGAAGTAACCATGTCAAGGATGTCAGCTGGAGTTAAGTTTGCCACTGCTCTATTCAGTAATTTTGTTCAGCTCCAGGACTGGTTTCCTGGCGTGTCCACAGCAAAAAGGCAGTGAGACACTGCAGCCTGCTTATTGATTCCTCAGACATTTTGTGGTTGCTCAGCTTGGGCCAGTCACCTCTCCTGATCCTGTTCTCAGTTATTCCCGTCTTAATTCTTGCTGCTTTGGGCATTGCCTTGTCCAAAGTGGGTAAATAATCTTCTCTTGACAGTGTCCTTTGTCTGAGAAGTGTGACCATGAAGGCCAGTGCCAGTTTAAAGGTGAGCAATGTCTCTTCTCACTTGTGTTAGATTACCCCTTGTTAATCTAAAAGACATCTAATGATGTCTTTTGTGGCTCTGGTTTCCCTGTTTGACTGGGGACCTTTTCTTTGTTCTACTCTTTCTTTCCAGAGTCAAGTTCTTATTTTCTTTCCAGAAGCATTGTTCAGATTAGGTAACTGTGCACCGTGTCTCTGCCATAATATGAAAGCTCTATAATTGCAGAGGTTAAGATCACCACTTTTGAGCAAGTTTTTGGTATTTTCAACTCCTTTGGGTGATGTAATAGAAAACAAAGAAAATATGTGCTGAAACCAAATTTGCTACAAACATCAGTGGGGATAAAACATACTTGTGGGTTGGTAGAGGTGTGTCCGAGTATGGAAAATTGCAACTTTAGATTTCTTGATTCGAGGAATTAAATCTTGTCTATCAATACGTTTTGACATGTATATTAATGCTTAGCATGTTCTTATGGGCACTGGAATAAACTGGGTAAGTACAGTCATTAATCCCTTGAATCCTCATCCAGCTGTTGCCATCTGGCGGCCGTGGAGCCGGGCTCCGGCGGGGAACGCGTGCCGTGACTGCAACCGGGGCAATCTGGGAACAAACGCAGGCAAACTCACCAATACTTGTCTGCCATCTGCCTTATTCGCTGCTGCCATCATCTACTGTCGCCAAACATTTTCCTGATACAAAAATGCATTTTAAAAGGTATATATACGCTGCATTTGAAAACTGAAGCTACAACTGCTGGACAGTGCTATTATTTTCAAGCTTTTGTTCCTTTAATTTCCCTGATGTACTATCTAACCTTTCTTTTTATTAGTTTTGCTCCTGCTTCTCACCACCTCCATCCTCCCACAGGCCCTGTCATCCTTGTGTCTGTTGGAGCCTCTGGCACCTGCTCTCTTCCATCGGGCATTGCCTCTCTGCACGCAATTCTGTGACAAAAATTTCAGTTAAAATCTTGTATTCCTCACTCTGTCAGAAGCATGAGGAATTCTGCTCAGCCTCCCTGTGTCTGTGCAGTGTCACTCTGCCAAAGCGATTACCTGCAGGAGTATTGGTTCACAGCTGACTTGCTGTGGGCAGGAGCCCATGCGGGGCTTGTTCCTCGTGCATGGATGGAAGGAGCAATGCCCTACATTGAGCAAGCAGTGAGTTTGCTGCTTTCCAATCGATCTGAATAAGGCTGGTCTGCCATTGCTACGGGAGTTAGTGGGTTTGTGTAGGATGGGGGAGGAGGCTCACAAAAACAAGCCAAAAATGTTGGAGTCAAGATAGGTGTAAAAAGGGGTTTTTGTTTGGGAATGAAACGTTTGTCAAAAAATTCACTGACTACTCTGAAGAAAAATACCCATCCCAGCAATTGATCAAATTCAGGCATTCAGTGTAGCTCAGCCCCTTCCCTTGCTTTTTCACCTCGGTCGTGATGGGTCACATTCCCTAGTTGGACAACAAGCAACATTCACTTCTCTGTCCATATTTAACTGCAGTAGCTCAGGTTGCTTTGGGTTTTTCGCGAGGTAGAAGGCTTTGTGCCTCTGCCAGGGAGTATTTCTCACAGCCAGGCTGTTGCTCCCCCAAGGCCTTCTCCAAATACCTGCTCCTTCCTCTTCCAACACGAGCGCTGACTCCCAGCCGGTGGGGGAGGCTCAGCTCAGCTGCAAGAGAAACATCAAACACCCCAGGCTGGGGCTGCAGACTTGCTGGGGCCCCCCACTCTGACCCTGCCGGCTCCCAGGGCTGACACCTCTGTTAGCCGAGGCTGCTGCGCCAGAGTGTGGTGACACTGTCCCCCGTCCCTCTTGGAGCCAACCTGGCAGGGTGGGCAGGAATGCTCTGGGACTCTGAGAGGATCCAGAGGGCCCTGGTCAGCATTCCCACAATGGCTCCATGCAATTGTATCTCCACAGCAGCTGCCTGGCCTGGGATAAAGGCTGGGAGCAGTCAGACGCGGGTTTGAAATAAGATCTCTGCAACAATGGGAGCTGCCAGCCAGGAACAAGGCCCGAGTTATGTAGATGGAGAGATTTTACTGGAGGATAAATGTAAATGCAGAGGCTGAATGCTTAGTGGAGGGGGGGTGGGTGAGGGAAAGTGATTAAAAAAATAATTAAAATAATAATAAAGGCATCCAGCATGAAACACCAAGCCAGCTGGCAGACAGCACAAAGGATATCAAGCAGAAATAGCAAATACATCTGGTGTCACCCAGAGGCAAAGCTAAAGAAGGTTTTTGTGGGGAATGTTTTCTGGAAAAGGGAATTTGGAACACTGTAAGAATGGGTGTGGCAGGTGACCCAGTGCCATGTCCTATCTCTACATGGCAGTTGCCTGAGAAAAATGCAAGAATACCATTAGCATTAGGCAGTCTATTCCCAGGACACCACCCCAGAATCCTGAGGCTTGTGACTCTGGGACTTCAGTGACAGACTTCTCAGGGGGATTGTGTATGTGTGTACATTCAATAGTATGAAATTATTTAGCAGACTATTTTTTCTGAGCACAGATAAACCTCTGCAGACAGACACCCCTGCGGCACCCAACTCCACTGCAGACACGCTCTGTGAAGAACTGTCTTGGTTAAGCTGGACAACTCTTAAGTTTACATCAATGCCCTCTACTTTTTTGCATGGGGGCAGCAAGTGAATCTAAATCTGCCTTCTCCAGACCATTTGGGATTTCACAGACATTACCAAAGCTCTCTCTCTTGCTTTCAGACTGATGGCTCATGCTCTCTATCTGTTCCAGGTACAGAAGCAAATTTGCACTGTGGATGTTGTTGTCACTTTCTCCTGGGCCTCTTCCAAGTCTTTTGAAACTAGATGACCTGAACTGCAGAGAACATTCACAGATTTATAGTAGCTTCTTTCCTTTTTGCTTCCTCTCCTGTCCTGGAAACTGATGGGCTTGCTTTTCTTATGCTGCTGAACACTTCACAGGACTATCTCTCTCAACGTTTTGTTCCTGAGTGATATTGTTGAGCTCAGAGTAGATAATTGTGTATATATGAGGTAAATAGGTGTGTGTATATATATGTATGTGTATATATATGTATGTGTGTGTATATATATAAAAATTCTCCACAGTTTCTTATTTTCTTTGCTAGCCTGAATGACTATTATTACCAAAAACATCCCTTTCTCTCCTTTCTAGGTGATTTATGGCAATAAAAATCAAGCACTTGCATACTCTACAGAAATCCACTGGATCTGCCCTGCTGTAGAAACAAACCAGACACGTTTCTATCGCTTGACTTTCTCAGTTCACTAAGTATAGAGGTGGCAGCAGGAGGCTGGGTTGTCTTCTCTTAGTTACTTAATAGCTTTCAAGGTGAGGACTCTACCACGAAGTCCTGGTAGACTCAAGGAGATGGATCTCTATTGAACATGTTTACTTCTTCAAAGCTTTCCCATGCCTCTGTGAAGCCAAGGGAGCAGCCTCCTCCCAGCATGATGTCTGTACACTGATGGGGGTGTATCAGAAATAAGTGACTGTTCTCTGTTTTGTTTCAGAGAAACAAAACCTTAAACCTGGCAAGTTGCTCTAGTCACAAAAAGTTCCTGAGATCTCACCAAGATGTTCAGTTACTTACAGATAATTCTTCCTTAGTTTATTTGTGTGTGTGTCTGTTTAGTAAGTCACCAATCACATTGATACTTAGAAAAAAAAATGACCTTCTGTAAACTGCAGAAGATATTTGATGGGTGAAACACACTGTGCTCCTGTTTCCAGCCCGGTGGTGCAGTGGCCCTCAGCTGCCATTCCCAGAACAGGTGCTGTAAATCAATACCCTGCTGGGTATATTCTGGCAGCACCCTGGTGAGGCAGCACAGCCCCCTCTGAAGAGACCTCAGAGGTGCTTTGTGTGTGCCTCCATCTGTATGAGTGCAGCAAGAGGATGATGAAGGTCCATTGTGTACTACTCCTCCTCATCTCCTCAGGTAAGGTGTTCCAGCCATTGCCTTGAAAGGGGGTTGTCTCCTCCCAGAGCATGTGGGACCATGGCTTTGCATACACGTAGCATGAGTGTGTGTTCCAGGAGCAGCCTGTTCTACTGGTAAGGTTTTATGAAAACACCTGATCATTTAAAAGAAAGCTTTGGAGTGTGTTAGTAGCAGCTCAGATATTTGTAATTTCAGGCACCAGATATTTTGAGTGGGGAAGTTTGTATTTAATTGTTTTTCTCTCTGCAATCTTTTTTTTCAGGCTCCCATTTGCCTTAGTGCTACATGTATTTCAAAATATGTGAAAGGATCTAGTAAGCATGACTTGGAATGTGAAAAATCATTACAAGAAGTTTCATTAAGTTGTGGGGTAACTGACAAGGAGGTAGAATTGATTGACAGCTGCATATGTTGTACTGAGCTAATTCCTTTTAAACCATCCCTTAAAAGAATAAATATTTGTGATCCTAAAAGCTTTTCAGAAAATTCAAGCAGTATACTAAACTCTTACCAAGTTACACCAGAAGGGAGCAAATGTGAAAGGATTTTAATTGCATTAATAAAGCATAGAGCTTCAATTAGATGTGACGCTGTAATCTTAACTTAAAAATTGAAAGATGCCTCCTGCCTACCCTCATTCAGCCTCCTGGCAGAGGAAGCAACCAGTGTCTGTCTGCAACAGACAGCTTTTCTGATTGGCATCCAAGTATTTTATAATCTCATGGCAGGACAAGGCCAAGGCAGAATCCTTGGCAATCTCAACTCAGCTGTGTAAAAGAAGTTGATGAAAAGTCAGTTAGGAAACCATCAGAAATCCTAGCTTAGGTTGGAGTCAGCAGCAAAATTCTTGTTGACTTCTGTCACCCAGGATTCAACAGAGAGGGGGAGACAAGGGTGCAATCTGCCAAAAATGCTCGCCATGAGGCTCAGCTGTTCTGTTCCATCTCACTACCTTTAAAGAGGGGACACATATAAAAACATCCCCAAGCACCCCTCCCATTTGCTTTCCTCCCCTGTAACAGTGAAGCAGCTACAATCCGAGGACATCATGTGCCTGCTTCTTCTGGCACAGGCTCTCTGGAAGCAGGGCCCATCTGTTTTCCAGTGCCCTTGCTTCGTGGCAGTGCAGTGCCATGCACAGGCACTGTGGATGCTCCACTGGAACAGGGTTGCTCCCTGCCATTTTCACTTGTGAAATTTTTCTTTCAAGGCTCTTTGGCACAGCATGGCCAGGTCATGCTGGGTAGCCTGCGGGCAGAGCTGTCCATGGACCTACCCCACACAGTGGGTGGTTTCCTTTTCTCACCACCTGCACAACCCAAGCAACTCCTGTTGTAGAGAGGAGCTCTCGTTCCACTTAGATTGAGGATGCGAGGAGTGGGGGCGGTGATGCCTTCTCCATGCCTGGTGTGCTTGGCCCTCACCTTTCATGTCAGTGTCACAGAAGGTCCATGGAATTGAAGGTGGAAAGGGTGACATTAGAAATCCCTGAGCCTGGACATTTTCTGTGTTTAACTGCCCATAAGTACTGCCTGTTAGCACAGTTTCAGGCTGGCAAACCCCTAATATTCAGTCTGAAATTCATGATCCTGCCTATTTGGATTTGTTCATCTCCTGGTTGGAGGCCATTGCCACAGGGAGGACTTGGTGTTATCCCCCCCAGCAGCTTGCCTGGCAGCATTTCCTGCATGCCAGCCTCAGGCTGACGGTGCTGTGCCTGTTCCCTGCCTCTTCTGACCGGTGCCACCCCTGCTGTTCTGCAGCTGGGCTGGCCCGGGGCTATGAGGACGAGACCCGCCTGGTGGAGGACCTGTTCAGTAACTACAACAAGGTGGTGCGGCCCGTGGAGGACCACCGGGACGCCGTCGTTGTCACCGTGGGGCTGCAGCTCATCCAGCTCATTAGCGTGGTACGGCACGAACGCGGGGAGTGCTGAGCCAGTGGCTCATGTGATAGTGCCAAATGGTGGTGTTTTTCTAAGGAAACAATTTTTATCCTTTCGTCCTGATGCTTGCTGATACTGCCTTCTTCTTTTTTTTTTATTTTCCTTTTTTTTAAGGATGAAGTAAATCAGATTGTGACAACCAACGTACGCCTAAAACAGGTAACTGAACAGTCTTAGCCATTTCATCTAATTCAAACAAATGCACTCAACACAGGCACTGCCTACACTCTCATACCTTTGGGAGCAGCTTGGAGAGGTGGGTCAGATAGCAGAGCATTTCTTCTTACTGAGATCTAAAGAATGAAGTGGTAGACACTAAGAGTCCTAAGAATAGCATTTGGGGTTGTATTTCAAACAGTAGGCTTCTGATAGTTTTGTATTCTTTTCTTTTGGTGTTTTGGCGTTTTTTTTATAAGCTTCTTAAACCAACTCTAAGTTAATGTAAAAAATGAGCTGGGGGTCCCACTCCCATATGTTTATGCGTACCTGCATGTCCCAAAGCAAGGGAGGAACTGTTTCTGGGAAGTATTCTAACCCCAGTGCTGAGCGAGGCTCTCAGGGGCTGAAATCTTCCCTTTTTAGCAATGGACAGATGTCAACCTCAGATGGAATCCAGATGACTACGGTGGTGTAAAAAAAATCCGCATCCCCTCAGATGATATCTGGCGGCCAGACCTTGTTCTTTACAACAAGTAAGGGGTGCCAGCTGCTGAGGGAGGCAGGGAGGGACAAAGCGGGGAGGAGCTCTGCCTTGTGGCACCACTGTGGTGGGACAGTTTTCCCATGACATCTGTTCCAGTGGGTACAATTCCTCAGGGTAAGTTTCTCCAGGAGCAGGCACTGGGGAGTCATTTGACCCGCAGCCAGAGAAATCCTTTTGTGACTCTGCTGATTATGCTGCCCATATTGCATTTAATGTCCTTGTTCCTTCTGCAGTGCAGACGGTGACTTTGCCATTGTAAAATACACCAAAGTCCTTCTGGAGCACACAGGTCTGATCACCTGGACACCACCAGCTATTTTTAAGAGTTACTGTGAAATTATAGTCACGCACTTCCCATTTGACCAGCAGAACTGCAGTATGAAGTTGGGAACTTGGACATATGATGGTACAGTGGTTGTTATTAACCCGGTAAGCAAGGAGTTTGTAATTGGGAAAAGACCTGCACATGTTTTTAAGAGAAATCTCAGATTTAGAATGGAATATGACCTAGTTCTGACTGGAAAAACAAGCAGACTCTACCTGTAAAACATAAAATTCTCATTTGTAGATCTAGCACAAGATTTCCTTGTTTGGCTCCTAAATTCTGCATACATATTATCCCAGTGCCCTAACAGTCTCCTATCTGTCCTCTGGCAGCTTTGCACCACTTGATATGGTGCTGCCTCTTCTGCTACTGTTTGTTTTCTCAGGTTTAGGGGTTTTTTGAGGGGTTATATTTTCTCTGTTCATGACTTTCCATTGCCAAAAACTCCTTCCCTGTCCCATCAGGTATGTCTCCTATCTGTAATGTTTTTTCAGTCTACTATCCCTGACTGTTTCTGTAAAATATTTAGTTGAATGTGGTGTAGAGGCTGGTATTCTAAGGAAAAATAACATAGACTAGAGCTGTTTACTCACCGAAAAAACTCCATAAAGTGCATGAGTTATTTGGAATCCTGTTCCTGTGCCAAACCTGCTAAGTTTTGGTTTGGTTCAGAATTCCTGGTATTAAGAATTTGTTTGGGTGTTTTGCTGCCAGGAGAGTGATCGCCCAGACCTGAGTAACTTCATGGAGAGTGGGGAGTGGGTGATGAAGGATTACCGAGGCTGGAAGCACTGGGTTTACTACGCTTGCTGCCCTGACACCCCTTACCTGGACATCACCTACCACTTCCTCATGCAACGCCTGCCTCTCTACTTCATTGTGAACGTCATCATACCCTGCCTGCTCTTCTCCTTTTTAACAGGGTTAGTTTTTTACCTACCCACAGATTCAGGTATGTAACTTTATTCATACTGCTTCCATAGAAATTGCTCTTCTAAGAAGTTCCTAAGAAATTCCCAGTATTTGAAACCAACTTGAAGGCCAGTGCATACTAAAACTGGACATTTCCACTGGAAGTAATGGCCTTAAATATTCTGCAAAGAAAGGATAAGTGCTGAAAACTGAAATTGTTGAAATAAATAAATTGGAGCACTTTCCCATAGAAATTGCTGACAACCTATCCAGTTAACTTCTGCAAACTAAAGATTTAGCTGGATAATTTTTATGTTTTGCCATAGGTATTCAGTGTGTTAGTGCATCCTGCGGTAAATGTGCACACAGGGGTGACAGAGGCCCTTCTGCACCATGTCAGAGCAGAGAGTTTATTACCTGCTCACACACACATTACCTTGTGTGACACAGAGTAATCCTGACCTGTTCTGGCCTCCTTTGTCTCTGCTGAGCCACTCATGCACCCTGCAACCATTGCTCTCCTTCATTCTTTTACCCTTTTGTCAGATGTTCATACTGCCTAATTGCAGTGTGAGGCCCTTCTTATTAAATACTTGATGAATTTTTTGAGTGGAAAACTTTCTACAAAGTTAAACTGGATTTAAAAAAATGTGTGAATAATATTTTATAATTAATTTTTGACACCCTCCACATGCAAGGAGATCTCGCATAGCAACTGACCTGATGTCAGATGTGATTTTAGTCTGCTCTCTCAGCCCAGAGACAAAGAGAAGCAAACCCTCAGGAGGCTGTAGAGCAAGCACTAATCAGATGTATCTGCTGCACTGTTCAAAATGTAGAGCCCACAAAATGCTCCTAGCAAGGCAAAATATTCAGCCCCCACACTTCTGTCCCGTTATTCCTGGTAATTCCCACCTTAGTGCTGGAGCTGATGCTGTTAGGCTCTTAGGTTTGCCCAGCCTACTTGATGCTTTGGATGCTGGCAGAGATGATAGCACTGCAAATGCACACAGATGTTTGTGTGAACGGCCCTTACCCACATCCTGCTTCTCAAATAAATGCTCTCTGTACTGAATGATAGGAGCAGCAATGATTTTGGGGGGCTTTTATCTGATAGGTGAGAAAATGACCCTCAGCATCTCTGTCCTGCTGTCTTTGACTGTGTTCCTGCTGGTCATCGTGGAGCTGATTCCCTCCACCTCCAGCGCAGTGCCTCTGATTGGCAAGTACATGCTGTTTACCATGGTGTTTGTCATCGCCTCGATCATCATCACCGTCATCGTCATCAACACCCACCACCGCTCCCCGAGCACGCACACCATGCCCCCCTGGGTCAGGAAGGTGAGCTCTGTGCCTTGGCACACTTGCTGGTTTCCACCAAATGCTCCATATTTTATTGGCAGGTTTTCTAATAAAAGTCAAAAAGAATTGGGGAGGTAAATGCATCATGTTAAAGGTCTCTAGGCACAAGAGCCAGTGTTTACTACTTAGCTGTGTGTAAAGTCAGTAAGATTGCTAAAAGTGCTCCTTTAAGTAACAAAATTGTCCATTGGGGTAGAGTCTTGCAAGGAACAGATGAGACAAAACATGGGCAGCTAAAAGTAGGGAACAGGAAAAGAAAATGTCCATCTGGACACGAATTACATATCCTGGTCTAATTCTCCATCTGACTGCAAGGCACTGCTGCCTGCCAGTGACCAGCCACCAGCCTGCACAAGTGCAGAGCACAAAGGCCACTGGAAATACCTGACTTCAGCACCCCATTTTGCAAAAGATGGTTTAGCAAAAGCTAGAAAAATCTTCTCTGTACTTTTCCAGTATACAGTTGTTCTGCAGCCCCTGGGAGATCCTTGCACAGGAGTCTAAATGGTAATCATAAGACATATAAAATATTGGTTGTCTGTCATTACAGGTTCTTTGCCAGGGCGACAGAATCAAAGATAATCTGATTTGAAGCCTGCCTGGTTCATACTAAACCATGAAATGAAGGGAGTTTTTTCTGTGTATTTCGAATTATGCTTTTAAGGTTACAGCTTATATCAGATTCCCTCTTTTGTGTTGTTTGCAGCACAAACAATCCCTGCAGAAGGGAAATTTCAACAGGAAATGCTCCATGTGCTTAACATTGCTCTGGCAGCAAGTCTCTTACTGTAAACCTTATATGCCTGTATAGCAAGCATTCAAAATATAGCAAAATCAAACCTCAGTAGCCAAAAGAGTTTCTTTGTAGTCCATTCTTCAATCAGATTTGTAGGCAATATGTTTCAAGTTAGATGGGCTGGCTCGAGCTCTGTCAGCTCGTGCTAGCTGAGGATCTGCTCCGTGGCATCGCTGCCCACCTCGTGTGTGGATGTTGGGTGTGGGGCAGGGGATGGCTGTCACCAAAGGTGACGGCTGCAGGCCTGTGGTATGGATGTCACCAAAGGTGATGGCTGCAGGCCTGTGGAATGGCTGTCACCAAAGGTGATGGCTGCAGGCTGCAGTCACTCCCTCTGCCCCGGGACGTGGGGCTGACAAAAGCCCCAGTGTAACCAAGGCGTGGGCCGTGACACAGCCGCAGAGGGAATCTGCAGAAGCGATCTGGGGGGGGAGAGGCTTGTCTTTGTTCAGCACACAGCTGCAGCTGTAACACAGCCCCACAGACCAGCAACTGTCATCTTCTCCCTTTGTTTTCAGATCTTTATTGACACAATCCCAAACATCATGTTTTTCTCTACAATGAAACGACCATCAAGAGACAAACAAGACAAAAATATTTTTGCGGAAGATATTGACATATCTGACATTTCTGGAAAGTCAGGCTCTATGCCTGTCAACTTCTACTCCCCACTTACCAAAAATCCAGACGTGAAAAACGCTATAGAGGGAATCAAATACATTGCAGAAACTATGAAATCGGACCAAGAAGCCAGCAATGTAAGGCTTTTTTTGGTGTATGATTCATTTCTAGCTTTCAAGTTGCTACATCTTACTTTTTTGGCAAAATATCCCTGCCTTACAGAAACACTCCAAGCCGTGGTTTGGCTCTAGCAGTGGACAGTCCTCTCCCCTTAATGGAGTCAACACGGAGCAACAAATAACTGTCACAGATGTTAACTGAATATTGGCTTCCCAAAATAATAGAAAAGGAAAAAGTGTCAGTGCTAAGGTTTTCTTATGTGATATGTGAATCCATAGAGATGGGGTGTCTGTGAGTAAGAAACGGGTTTTAAGAACTGTAAGCAAGTTCCAAAACACTTTTCTTCTGTCTCCCACTCAGACATCTTGCCCTAGTAAGTAAGATTCTACTGCTTTTGAAAACCCAGGAAGGAAGGCAAACTCCAAAAGACTAGTAGTGTTATCTGAGAAGTGTTAAATGTAACTTACAAAATTTATTTCCAGTTTTGATAAGGTTTTGTTTTATTCCTGAATACAAGTAGTCCCTCCAAATGAAGTATGTCATGAGCCATCTGATTACTGACTTTTTCCACATTGCAAGCCAAAGGAAGGATAAAAGCATATAGAGTCACACATGGCAGCGTTCCCTAGGAAAACCTATCTCTGCCTCCTTCTAGCACATTCAGTACAATTAACCCCTCTTTTATTTCAGCTTTCACAGCTCACACAGCTTTTGCAGGGGTAATTTAGTCCTGGTATTTCACCTTCCAAAGTGGTCACAGACTTCTCTTGTTGAGCTGCAGGCTAGTCTGAAGACAGGGGAGCTCTCTGAGAAACTAATTTGACCCACTCTCTTGAAAAGGAGGTGCTTACTTCTCACTGACAGGATTTACACCACGGTGTTTTTTCCTGTGAACAAATTCTTGGAGCATGTGAGATGGCTCTGGCTGTAGTCTCATGTTCCCTGTGACTCCTCTGCCTCTCTGCAGACAAATTGTTGTCTTCAGCAGGGCTGGCGTGGCTTCAACATCTCTGGGCTTCACTTCCTCCTTGGCTTACGAGGAGGGTCTTCAGGTTACAGCAAATGCCCCCTTCGGAAGTGGAGCCCAGCTGTTTGTGTCACCTGGGCACTATTGATATATCTCTTCCAGGGGATTTTAAAAGACAAGTTCCCTAAATAAATGAAAGGTTCTGAAGGCTATCACTTCATTGCATTCACTTCTGAACCGCCTCAAAATAGTATTCATTATCAGTGTCCTTTAGATAAGTTACAACAGCTTCTTCTACTTGTGGGAGAACCAAGGCACAAGCAGAAGGTGCTTTAGGCCAGCACATGTCACTCCTTAAGGTGGAGTTCCAGAGTGGAAACCCTGCTGTACTTGGTGCCTTGCACCCTGCATGCTCTTACTGTACTGGGTTCCCACCAAAAGCATCCAGTGAAAAGGTACAGAGTGAGTGGTTCATGGTGTCCCACAACTAGAAAAAAGACTAATGGAGCTACCAAGAAGGTTTTACAAGACATTAGAGTGTATGGAAAGCAGGGATTGGGGTTAAATTAATAGGAATTGCCTAGATAACCTATAAGAACAAAAAAGCAATGGGAAAACAAAAGTTATTTGGGTCAAACTAAGCATTTTGCTTTCGAGATTTTAAACTCTCAGAAGCAATCATTGGCCTAACAATTAAGTTTTCAACATTTTTTTAAAATGAAACTGTTCAGGGTTTCTGGTTAGTTTAGTGTTGAAACTTGTACGTCTAGGTTGCTTAGGCTTTCTTAACCACTGACCTGCTTTTGAGAAGAAAATGAATATTTTTTACATAGCAATAATGGCACTTAGAGAAGAGTCTTCCCCTTGTTCAAGATAGTAAATGACAAGAATTCTGTAACAAACAGGGCTCTGCAGAGATTTTACCATCTCCTTTGTTTCTTTCCCAGGCTGCAGAAGAATGGAAGTTTGTTGCAATGGTGCTTGATCATCTCCTCCTTGGCATATTTATGCTAGTTTGTTTTATAGGAACATTAGCTGTATTTGCTGGTCGCCTTATTGAATTAAATCAGCAAGGATGAATGTCAGATGGAAACTATTTGCTACCCTGAAGATCTGAAAGCATCCTAACCATCAAAATCTGGCCAGTCTCTGAAAGGTTCACTGACAGGAATCAGTAACAGCTGGGAAAGAACAGGTATAATAAAACTTAAGGCTCCATACGTCACACTTCTGAGCTGCTGCTCAGTAGCATTTAATTGCAAAAAGAAACACTTGTATTACTGGTAAACTTGAACGGCTATGGCTGTCAGCCAGGTTTTGATCCATTTCACCCTTTATTAAAAATCTCAATGTATTAATAAGACTGACTGACTTTGTAAGCAACAGATTCTATTCCAGTGAAGTCATTAGCAGTTAAATAAGCTTTAGCTGAGCTGTAAATCTGTATCCAATTTTGGCATTCAAGCTGGTTTTAATATCTGCTCTGTGGCTTTTGTATTAGCAAGGTCATTCCTCTGATAAAACTAGATATAACTGTCAGAAATATCTGAAACTCCCTGCTTAAGCACTTGATTTTCATGCACAAATCTGAACTGTCTGTCAATCATGACTCCACTTCTAGAAGCTCTTGTTGCAGCAAAGAGGAGATATTTACTTTACTTGTTCTCTACTGTGAGAAGGATCCAACCTGTTTCTAGAATAATCTCCATATTCAGCCTACTCTGCTCTTGGAAGGTTGGTTTCCACTCTTCATTTCGAGTGATGACTAATGTCGGGGGCACCTTCGACCTCGAAGGTGTTTGCAAGCCCAGTTCCGAGTTTCCGAAAGCCGTTCGGCGAGCAGGCGGCCCGGGCACCGCTCCGTGCCGGGAGGGGCGGGCTGAGCCCGGCGGGGCCCGGCCCGGAGCGCTCCTCCGCCAGCAGCGTCAGCCCGGCCGCGCTCAAAAGTTGAGCAGCAGCTCGCTCTGCTGGCTGAAGCGAAGCGGTGCTGCCTCTGCCCGCCACCGCCGGACTTTGTTTACTCCACAGTCGACGTAAGCAAGAAGCCTCTCTGCGTTCAAATAATGCCGTGCGGCCGTACCAGCAGCGCTGCCTCTTCTTCTCAAAATTAAATAAGGATAGGTGGGGCAACTGCGACAAGTTACTCATCTTTCCCAGCTGGTTGCCCAAGCCAACAGCACTACTTTGCTAACAGCTGTAAACAATTTGCTGTGAGTTTAGTGAAATAATTCGTATTATGTTAAAACGTGTCATGCCTGCAGAGGACAGGCATTTGAAGCACTATAGGGAAAATGAGGTACTTGAGCAACGCTCCCAGCATTGCGTAGTGTTTGCTGGACAATGTTTTGGTGAGCTGCAGTCCTAAGCAAACAGTTTGTCTGGGGTGATAGATCACTTGCAGCACTCTGCTCCACTCTTAGGGTTTAAAGGATGGTAATCTTTGCCTCCCTGGATGATCATTAACCCTGTGAGCAAAGGCCAAAGATGTATTGCTGGGGGCCACCGCTGCTGACAGAGGGACTGCTCACTGCAGCTGGCTTTATCTCTGGTGGGAGTTCCCAGCTTCCAGCCCTGGGGGGAGTCAGCAGCTCCCTGCTCGCTATGAGCTAAGCTGCACCCTAAAGGTGCCTCGAACTTGAGAGCCTGTGACTGGGACCGAAATTGTCAGAACAATCCTCTTAGAGCAGCATGTGATTGGACCTTAGCATTAAAAATAAACATCAAGTAACAAGATTCATGGTGAGCATCCACAGTATCTTTGTTCAGTTTCCCCAAGGCAAAGCTAAGTCGTGGCCTCCAAATTCCCCCTATTTGTGTGCCAGAGTAAATGTGTGCACGTGAGTGTCTGCCTGTCTGCTTCTCCAGTTCTCCTTATACACAGCTAAGTATCAGTGCTTTCCTTCCACTTCCTCAGAAAAAGGTTTGAAACTATTTATTCAAAAATTTTCATCTGTGATGGTTTGACCTGTTTTATAGGCACAGCAAATCTTCTGCCTTTCTGTCGCTTTGACAATTGATGAACTAGTTGTGTCTCAAAAGATGTGACAGCAATCAAAAATAAATGCTAACAACTTCCCTTCTTAGGGTGCGGATTCTGGGCATTGTACTCTGACTCTCCAAACAGGGTTCTCCAAGCATCAAATAAGCACGTTTGGTTTGTTTGGTTTGGTTTTGTTTTTTTCTTTTGCTTGGCTTTGCTTTGAATACTTGGGCTGTACCAGCCTATATTTTCTCTTCCCAGATCACCTTTACGATACATCTTTCTTGCATACCACTTGTATACCACTAAGATCCCCTGTTACCAGTATCCATCCACTGATAGAATACCCTTACCTACCTGCAGACTACCTCTTCCCAACTGCTACTCTCCCTTCAGTGTCAGCCCCTGCTAAAATTGTAGCTTAGGAGGTTGTAAATCTTCTGTCTCAGTCACAGTCACAGAAAATCTGCTGTACACGTGTAAGTATGTATAGTCTAATGAGTTCTCATTTACAGCTCTGTAGCCCCCCCTTGCAACCTTAACGCTAAACACTCCTCTCTCCTACATGGGTTGAATCAGCAGCCCCAGGGAGACGACTCTGGATAACACTTTGCAACCCACGCATGCATCTCTGCTGTCTCGTTGCCTTAAACAGGCATATTTCAGCCTGGAGCTTCAACTAACAAATCTCATGATAAGCAAAGCAAGAAGCAAGTGTCACACACTCATTGTTAAATTTCTCTAATAAGTATAAAAAATTATGACATGAAAAGATCATGGTGCTGAAGTAAACAGACCTCATTTAAATGAATGCAGACCAGGGGCATCTAGGTGGGAAGGTGTTGCTTTTATAGTGATAGTACCTGGGGCAGTTGACTGCTATCTTCTTGCTACTAAAGCTGCTTTTATTCACTTTGAGCTTGTTGATAACACCATATTTATGTCCTTAGTAGAACAGCTTCCTGGAATGTCTCCATCTTTTTCAGTTTGATTCTCTTTCCAGTTTTCAAACCATTTGGCAGTTAACTTTCCCCTTCCCATCCATTTAGCTGACTTTAGCTACTTTCTACTGTGTCATGGATATGTTTCTCCCAGAGATTCAGTCACTCCCAAATCCTCTTTGGCACTTGTGATCTTCAGGAGACCTGACTCTTCTGAGAAGGTTATTTGAATTTTCACAGTCCCTTATCTTGTACCAGCTCCAAAGGAGCAGTTTCACCTCTGCAGGAGTCTGTAATCAGAACAGGCTGCTGCTCTCCATCCTCACCAGACAGCTGAGCTGAACTCGGTGTCCTTATTCTGTCTCTTCAGCCAGCTGGATCTCAGCTTTGTAAAATGTAGTTGAGCTGATCAAGACAGAGAACAGAAAAATGACACTCACTGAACTCCAAGCACTTGACTATGAGCTTGTACAAGTATGCCAGGTGTGATCATTCATCTGCCACCAGTGCTTGGGTCCCACAGACTCCCTCAGTTTGAGAGTTTTTTTAAAAATCAAATTCTTGTTTCAGGCAATTGCAAGACAGTTTCAGGCAATTGCAAGACAGTTTAAGTACTCTTTTTTTTTTTTTTTTTTCTCCAGGATATAAGTTGCTGCCAACCTCCTTGCTGTGGCAGTCTCCCCAGAGAAGTGTGAAAGCAGTGTGAGTTTCATCAGTGTGCTGACTCAGCAGTTCCTGTTTCCACAGCTGAGGCAAGCCACAGCGGGTAGGGACAGCAGGGCAATAGAGAATGTGTAACACAGGACCCAGATAAGTGCATAAACACTGTGCTGCTGCTGGAGAAAGGGAGCACGTTACCTCCCTGAAGGGTTTGTTCTCTGGTATGGTGACAGGCAAGATAGCACCTTTAAAGTCACTGATAGTTTAGCACATCAGAAATGTTTTTGAGTTTGGGCACGTCTAGAAGGTTGCTGTCCTTGGCTCCAGTCACAAGACCTCACATTTTCATATGTTTACTAGTACTAGATAAATTCTAGCACAGCCTCCAGGCCCCTAGGCATGCTGTTGTCTATAAATTACCTCTCTCTTTCTTATTTTAAAAATTGTGAAACTGATACAAAGTCTCCCAAGCTTCTGTCACCTGAAGGTTGCACAGACACTGACTTCTAACAAAGCTCTAGAGTAACTGTCTCTTTCTGGAATTCAAATCCCAAATACAGAAAAGGCAATTGTGCACTGCTTTGCAAAAGATTCTCTAAAATGATCATACTTCAGTCCCTGATAAAGAGACTGACACAGCTATGGAAAAGAGCCAACATGTAGGCAAGCATTTCCATGCTCACTGTGAGAGCCATGATGAGTCCTGCTGGCTGCAGGTGGGTTATCTACAGCAAGCACAGGACAATTTCACTTGTTACCATGCAACAGGCCAGCCTGACCAGCAGGCAGAAGTCCAAAGGAGTTTGTAGGCTACTTCATCACAGTGATGATGGATCACTCAGTGGATTCCCCACAAAGGGACAATTCTTTCCTAGCAAGGGTTGTCACCATTTCCTGTCATCTGTCATCAGCACAGATCGCCCACTGCAGCACATCTTCCCAACTTCTAAAAGCTGAGCAGATCTGCACCAGTGTTTGCTATTTATCCCATATGGAGCCTGGATTAAACACATTACATGGTATTTCCCCAGCAGGTAGACAAGAGGAAGCTGTTTGCCTCTATGTGACTTTTCAGCTAACCAATGACCCAAATGCAGTTTGCTATGATGAGAAACCTCATGTGGATTTGTGACCCTCTTTAGAGAGCTTTGGGACTGTAAAGACAGTAAACACAGAGTACCTGCAGTTTTACTGTTTGTGAGCACTGAAATTTTCACTTGCAAACTAATCTACATTGGATGTATGGGTCAGAAAAGGGTACACATAAAAAATTGTACCAGCTTTTTTGTTTTCTTGTAATGCTCCAAGCATACACAGAAATAGAAAAATGACCTACATAAAAGCCTGGCAAGGTTTCCAGCCTTCCACTGAAGACAGCACAGTAATGCCATTACTCTTATGACAGCACGTCTCACCATAATGCTGTGCCTTCAGGCAACAGCTCATCTCCTGAGGAAAACATGAAAGTAAGTTGCAGCAGGTTAACTTAGAATACAGGTTACTCAGTCTTTGACCTTGCTGGGATGTGTTGCTACAAGTGAATCAAGAGCATATTTCAGTTGTTCAGGACACCTGTCACTAACATTTTTATTTTAGATAACAGTGTTATATAGCTGCTGGGCTGGACCATGTCTACACATGGAGTAAACAGAAACCATCTGAACACCTCCAAGATGTGAAACCCTGTGGAGACAAAAGCATGTGAGATTAATGTTGGCTCAAATAGACACTTGGGACACAGTTCTTGCACTTCAAACTTTGCTCCTATCTGTACAAGCTACTCCATTACATATACTTGGGCATTTTTCCATCCAAAACCTCAGTATTGGACATAAAAACATTAACATAAATTTTGTTTCTAGAAAACTTAGTCAAGCTGAGGGGGGAAAGGGAACAGAATCTACTGCTTGCCTGGCAAAGCAATCTCTGCATGAGTTAATTGAGGAATGAAACACAAATACCTTCTGGGGCATCCTGCAGAGGTGGGTAATTGACCTGCCCACATCTCAGTATACTGCAAACCTTAACAGGGAAAAAGCAAGCATCTTTTCCCCACTGTTTAATTACATTTCTACTCTACCGTGCGTCTCAGCCTGGCGCCTTGCTACTCCCCAGGCGCCACTAGCCCTTCCCCGCCGGCTGCCATCAAGGCCATCGAGGCAGGTGGGGAAACACAGCGTGCTGAGCGCCCTGTGGGAAAGGCGGCCCCGGGAGCAGGGCCGAGAGGAGCGGGGGCTGTGCCGAGGGCCGCAGGGCGCGGGGCACGGAGAGCAGGGCTGCCCCTTTGCTGAGGGCATGGCCGGGGAACCGGGGAGGCTGCGAACGGGACGTGTCCTCGGCAGGGCCACACAGGTCAGGCCGCTGGCACCTGGGCACCCGAACCCATCTCCCTGTGAGGGGCTCTCCGTAAGTGACCGGTGTGAACTCCCACTGGGCACCGGGCACGGAAAGACCGGGCACGGCCCGGCGGGCACCCCGCGGGCAGCCCGCTCCGCCGGCCGGGCCGAGGGGCCGCGCGGGCCCGGGGCGTGTGCGGCGGCGCGGGCGGCGGGGGAGCGGCGCCCCAGGGCCGCGCCGCGCCGCTTCCTGCCGCTATAAATAGCGCCCGGCCCAACATGTCCCGGCCGCCGCAGCGGCTGCAGCGCCGGCGGGAGCCGCCGCGCCCGCCCGCCGCCCGGCCCGCACGGAGCGCGGTAAGGGGGCCGCGGGGGCTCTGGGGCGGGCAGGGCTCCGCGCCGGGGCCGCTCGGCACCCCCGGCCCCGCGGGTACAAGGGTCGGGAGCCGAGTCTCGCCCCGTGCCTGTCTGCTCTTTCTCTCTTTTCTTCCAGACTGCTCTGTCTTGGGCTGGACGCGTTCCTCCTGCCTCCCGAAGCCGTGCTGGCAGGCTGGGATCCCTCCCTGCTTCCCCTCGCATTCCCGCTTCCCCGGGTTGGGCGCGCCCGCGGTGGCGGCTGGCGCTGGCCTCTGGGCGCAGCCCCGGCAGCTCGGACCGTGCTGCTGCCCGGGCTGCCAGGGAGAGCTGTGCCGTCCTTGTCCATCCCTGCTGCTGTGCAGCCACGGCTGTGAAATCCTGGCCGGCGTGTCAGGGTGGGGAGAGCCGCGTGGGGCTGCGGCTCAGGCTGGAGCCGTGGCACGCACCGCCGCCTGCACGTGTGGCACCTAGGCAGGGCATCGCTCTTTGGTCACACACCAGGTGCCCGTGTTGCAGCTTCCCCCAAGTGCTTTCATCTGCAGCGGATGTTGAGGTGGACCGTGTAGTTAGGCTTCATGGTGGAGTCAACAAAGCAGGTCTCTGCCCTCTGAGCTGGCTCTTGGGGGCTTTTTGGAAGGAATCGAGGAACCTCAAGTAACCAGTCTTCATGTTTTAGCTTGTCTTGCACTTTGTTTGCCTCTGCTGCTCTAATGGCTGTGTTTCATCTTCTAATGAACACCTTCTGGAGTGCAGGGCTATGTGCCTTCTCAGAGAGTAGGCGTTCCTCAGCTACCATGTAGCCTGTTCGAGTGGCCTCTCTAAAGCAAACTGGTAACAGCACTTGTCTCTGGCGTGTTCAGGAACCCACCATGACATACTTCTGAGTTACTCCTTTATTCCTAAAGTGTGCTCTCAAATACAGGGCTGTAATAAGCAGCTGCTCTCAGTTTTGACCTCCAGACGATGGGCAGTGTGTTTTGCTTCTCATCCACACCCTTTTTAACTCTGTCAACCTTCCCCTCTGTTTCTTCTGACCACTAGCTCTTCCAAGCCCAATTTGGGAGAATGGTGCAGAGACCCAGGAGGCCACGTAAAAAAGAAAAGGTCCTCTCAGAGCCTCAGCTTGGGAGCCTTGCCTTCAGTGAAGGCAGGAGGCATGGCAGTGCACTTTTTCAAGTGCTGTAAAGCACGAGGCCAGCTGAGCTGGCATGTACTTTCCCCTCTGCTGTGAGGGGAAGGAACAGATGAGGAGGAAATACAGCTGTTCCAAAGCACTTCTGCCCTCTGTCCAGTCAGAGCATGTGAGGGGGGAGGACAGACGCAGAAAGGGAGATTCAGGAAGAGAGTATGGGAGGTTGGGGAGGGGTAAGGGGAGGAGAGGAAAGCTACAAATGGAGAAGAAAAGCTCTTTATGTATGCACAAATGTTATTTGAAGATCTGTTTAGCTAGAGCAAATAGCCTGAAATTATGAGATTGTATCTCTTGAGTCCCTGTTACTGTTCCTTCAGAAAGTGCTGCTTTTCATTCCTCAGGTATTATGTGTGTCTTTCTGCCTCCCTCTTCTAGGCTCCTCAGCATCCTCTGACCTCAAGCTGAGCAGGACGTTGCCCTTAGTTTCTGCCTGTCAAACGTGTAGTTCTCCATGTTGTACATGATTATTCCATAGTTGGTTAAGGCAAGTTTCTGAGGAATGCTAAGCAAGAGGCACGCCAGTTCCTGTGGCTGGCCTTGAATGGAGTGCAGGCATTTTGGGACAGGGGCTGTGCCTGGAGGCTGTGGTTACTCTGCATGTTATCCTTGGCAGCTTAGGGATTCCTGCCTCTGCTCCTGTCCCTCCCACCCTTCTCTTATGTCTTACTGCTGCTCACCTGTTCTTCTGCCTGTGCTGCAGCTGCTTCAGCCTTTCCCAGTAATCTGTGGGGTTGTGCTGAATAGCTTGGAAGTCTGAGTAAGAAGAAGAGAAAGCTGCTACTCCTTTGTCTGTAGAGAAGTTCCCTCTCAGCCCTGTGCTGACTCTCCCCTGCATCCTGCTTTGAGATCCCTCACCCCAGCAACTGGGAATTAAAGCAATTGAAGCTCTCTAGCTATGTCCTAATTACTGCTACTGCCTTGCTATTTCTACTGAAGTTGCACTTTCAGCTTTCTCCTGGATTAGTTTACTCTCTGAATGGCAGCAGGTAGTATGGTACTGTCTTTGGGGGCTGCATGGCTAAAAGACCACATTTTTACAAGACCTTAACTTTTTTTTTAATGGAAAACCCAGTTACCCCAGCAGAGTTTCACTGCTTTTACGTGTGTAGTACAGAGAGAACTGATAGTGTGCATCTAAGAAAAGGTATTGGCTGTGGAAAGAGCAATTTTCCAGCTGTGATAACGATATGATCTTTACATCTGATGACATCCAGACACCGAAAAGGCCACTGAGAAACACAAGCAATGCTAATCCCTTTGAGAAGGGAGCATGCTGCAGTATTTCTCTTCATTTCCTACACTGCATAAAGTTCTAACAGCTATTTAGTTTTCTACCCTGCTTGTATAAACACTCATTTGCTTTGTGGGGAGAAAGGAGCGTATGTTGGTGTTGCCTGACAATTGTGACATGACAGGAAGGCATAGGCTTCCTTTGGAGCACGTGTTGTTGATGGCCTACATGTACAATTTAGTAAAATGTCTTTATACAGCAGCTTTGAGAAATGTTCTGTGCTTTTAACTACCTTGAATCTTCATCTGGTTGATGGACTTATATATAGAAACCATATGAAATAATGATGAAGTAGAAGGGCAGGTTTCTTTAAAGTTTGTTTTTGCCAAAGTAAACATATCTTAATAATGGCTTCTTCACAATAATGAAGTGTTATCAAAATTCAAATCTAATTAAATACTTTTGTGTTCTTCCTACTGATTTCTTTTATTCTTGACTCAAACACTTTCTCATTTTCTTCATCTGGTGCACTCTAACATCTCATCTGTGGGATCTGTCATAAAAAGGAGTGTTTACTGTCTTGGTTCAGAATCCGTGGTGCTAGCTGTTTGAGTAGGGGTGTGGAAACTCAGTATATGGGGAGATAATTAAATACTAGGATGGTATAACAGATTTTGTTAGTGTAGATATTCTGAGTAGTCACAAATCTTCAAAGCACAAAGCACAAAGTGTACAGTTAACACCTACTTGTTCAGCTCCTTACTTCAAAGAGGTATGTGAAAACCTGTTACTGAATAATAACTGCTGAACTGTTAGTTGGCAAATAGCCCAGGAAAGGCATTATTAAGAAGTAAATTCAATAAAGATGTCTGTAATCTTGCTTTAGTAGGAAGCTTCGTTTAAAGTAATTTGTGTGCTTTGGTGACCAGTATGATAGTGTAGTATTCACCAGGTACATGCATGCATTTGTCTGGGTATCTGAAGAGGGGGAAGGAGAAGTAACAAACTGTTTACTATGTTAGTGCTCTGTTGTGATCCTCTTGGGGACTATGTCACTGCTGCTGAGCTGACAGTGAAATCTGAATAGTAAAAGGTTATTTTTCTCAGTGGCAATAACCCTGAACATCAAGGCCCTGAAAGGTGCTGGAGTTGCTCTTCGTCCTTGCAGGCACACAAGTCTGCAAGTGCAGCTGTCCTTGAGCCTCATCCAACAGAGTTCACAAAGATCACTCAAGAGTGTCTCTAAGGCTGGAGACGCAAGTGGCAGGGGAGCAGTTTTGTCTAAATTGGAGAGATCAAAGGAGTTCAGAATAGAAAGTTTTCGCTAGTTCCTGGAAGGAGATAAACGGAAAACACAAGGAGTAGTTTAAGAGTCTGTTTTGTAACACTTAACTCAGCCATAACTTCATTAGCGTTCTTCATTTGGATCCAATTACACATAAGTATACTTTGTAATTAAAATGTATAGTTTTGTAATTCCTTAAGCTACTAATGTTGTGGAAGCAGAAGTTTGAGTTTTAATGTGTTCATGTGCACCCCTCATCTTTGATGTGCTCAGTGTTTGTATGTATGTAGCTCCCACAATTTCCTTATTGAGCTAAAATCTGTGAGAAGGGCCCTCCTGTGTGCCCGTGCATGCTTTCATGAGAGCCCTTTTTCTCTTTGCACTAAGCTTGAGCTCATAACTCCTGCTGAAGAAACTGCAGGATATTCTTTAACAGGAAGTAGTACAGATGTTAAAATAAATGCTCTTAGCAGCTTCAGTGAGCCCGAAATAGCTTCTGCATGTTTCTCTTATGATAAGTTCAGGAAAGGGGGTGATTCCCTCTTCTTCCCTCTCTGTACTATTTTGAGTGCTGAAATCCTCTTGCCATGAAGAGCAGGCAGTGTGGAGCAGGCTTCTCTGTATTCTTCTGGACCCTGACTTAACAGGGCCAGGAGTGAGCCCGAAACAGAAATTGCATTCCTTGGCACAGTGTCCTGCTTCCTACAAAAATTTCCACTGAGGTCCTTGGTGGTGAGGGGGGCTAACCACTGAAACTGGTTGTCCAGAGGGATCTGGATTTTGTTGTTGGAGATGGTCTAAAAACTGGATAAGGTCTGAGCAGTCTACTTGAAGCCAGGTATCTCTGCTCTGAACTAGATGAGATCCAGCAGTTCCTTCCAGCTGGCTGTTTGCCATGTTTTTGCAGTACAGGGGAAGCATGGCTGCCTTTGTCTGTCCCCAAAACCAGTGGGAATAAATGTAGTCTTAAAATATCTGAAAATGGCCTTGAGAATTCTGAATAAAGACTTCAAAAATTGAAGTATGTAGAGAAGCATGGCATAAGGAGGTAATTTTGCCCAAAGTCTCATAACAGCAGGTCAGTAATAGTGCTGGGAGAGGATCATAAATCTCCTGACTGGCAGACTAGTGCCTTGGTAGCTAGAAGATTTTTGTCTTCATACATAAAACTACCTCCTTTCCCTACTTGACTATTTTCAGATCATTTGGCAACAGAGACTACACTTACCTGCTGAGAAACATAATTCTTTTTTTTTTTTTTTTTTTTTTTTTTTTTTTTTTTTTTTTTTTTT